GACAGACTGACAGCTCCCATCTGCTGGCCCATTCCCCAGATACCCACAATGGCCAGAGCTCTGGGCAAGGCTGAAGCCAAGAACCTAGTCTAGGTCTCCCACATGGGTGGTAAGGGACACAGCTAACTGAGCCATTATACCTACTGCCTCCCAGAGTCAGCATCAGTGAGATTCTAGAATCTGGAGCAGAACCATGACTCAGACCCAGACACTGACAGACACTCAACCAGAATCTGGATCAGAACCAGCGTTCAAACCTAGACACTAAACCAGAGGCCAAGCACCCATCTCTGTCCCCAAATTTAACTTGGATTTGGTCCATGAACTCACTCTTTGATAGTAACCCTACTGGATGATAATCAATCTAAATGTTTCTTAATCTCTGGGAGTTTAGTCTCCATCTCTGTAATGTTAGTTTTTGTCTGTGACTTTTCACATATACTTTGGACTACCATGTACAGCTTTATAGATCACAACACAGAGAGCCATTTGTGGCCATGGTTAGCCCTGAAGTTGTATAGTAGGGCCTCCTACTATACCTACCTTCACTTTCTATGGACCTGGTTAGCTTAATTGGTATTGTGTAATTTGCCGTTGGAGTCAACTGAGCATATTTATTTTTTAAAAATTTTATTATTTATTTGAGTATATTTGAAAGTCTAAGATAACTTCCAGGAAAATTCCTCTTAAGCATCTGTTCTATGAATTGTGTGTCTATCTGGATTAATTTGGCTGTGTAGAAAAATGACATATAGAGTGGTGCATATTTGAGGTATGAATTTAAATATGAAACATAATTTTAAAATATCATCAATTTGGAAATAAGTGGTTCTGTCTTATTTTTATTATCCTCATGCTTGATCTCTGATTCTGAAAATTCAGTCCTATTCTGGCATTAACTACCTGGAATTAGCATCAAACTCCCTAAGTTTAAGGGTTCAGCTCAGTCCCACAAGACTGCCCCTACTCATAAATCTTGGGTCCCCAGGCTACTTGCAGTTCCATCCAACTTAGCTACAAATTTGGGGGCTCCCACAATCCTTTCTGAGATTTGATAATTACTATAACAACTGACAGAGCTTAGAAAAACACCTTGCTTACATTTTACAGTTTATTATAAAAGATAAACAACTCAGGGATTGCCCACTGAGAGAGATGCATAGGACAAGGGATGGGGAGAGGGTTACAGAGCTTCCTGCTCTCTACAGCATGCTACCCTCTCAGCACCTGACCCAGGAGCTCCCTGAACCCTGTTGCTTTGCTACAAAACTTGATGGATTAAATTATTGGACAGTAATGATTGGGCTCATTTTCCCAGAGGTCAAGAAGTGAGACTAAAAGTTCCGCTTTGTAATCAAGGCTTGGTCTTTGTGGGTGAACATCCTCAATCCTGAAAGGTTCCTGCTAAGAGTCACCTAATTTGTACAAACTCCAGTATGATTGGGGGTTGATTGGGGACTGTTGTAAATAATGCTCTTATCATTTAGAAAATTCTGATGTTTTAGGAGATTCGTTCCAAGAACAAAGACCAGATACGTATTTTTTTGTTGTAACACACTTGAATAATATTGAACAGTTTATAATAATATAATAAAAGCTAGAAGAATGTTCAATAATAGAGAATTAATTAAACAGTCATATAGCCCTTAAATTATTTGTAGATACAGACATATAAAACAGTTTATATAACTGTTTTGAACTTGATTAGCAAAGGCAAGGATTTGCTGGCAGCAAATCTACCAGAGGAGAGAAGAATTCTAGAAAGCTGCCAACACACTACAGGCAGTCTACAATTTATGAATGAATTGTGTTCCAAAAGGTGGCTGTTTGAAGTTCTGAATACATTTTCTCTAAGAAACCAAGTCAGCCTAGAACAGCCTTAATTTCACCCGAATTCGTGGAATATATGTAGTATCTACACTTAATTTCAGTGTATCACAATTTTATGAGACTACTGCATTTTTTAATTTATTTTAGGATTTATTTACTTATTTGAAAGATACTAGTTACAGAGAGAGAGACAAAGAGATATCTTCCATCTGCTAGTTTACTCCCAAATGGCTCCAAAAGTCAGTGCTGGGCCAGGATGAAGTGAGGAGCCTGGAGCACTATCTTGGTCTCCCATGTAAGTGACAGGCCCCAAGGCCTTGGCCATCCTCTACTGCTCTCTCAGGCCCATTAGCAGGGAGCTGGATTGGAAGTAGAGCAGCTGAGGATGCTGGTGTTGCAAGTGGTGGCTTAACCTGCTGTGCCATAACACTAGCCCCAAGGAAGAATATAGTGAACATAGTGTACTTACTAATTAATTAATTAAACTTCTGGCTATTGACAACTTGTTAACTGAATCTTCAGAAGACAGATTTGTACCTTAACTCTAAGAAGATAGGATAGGATTTTCTTCATAAGTTAGGAACTGCTTGTGGTTGTCTTTTACTTCTGTTTTTTTTTTACATTCTAAAAGCAATTACGTACTCATTCAAAAGTAAGCCCACTTAATTAAAAGTAGATAGTAATATCCTCAGCTTGCTCTCAAATAGTTAGAAAAATATGTTTGTACACACCTACAATGCAGATAAATGTGGCCCAAAAAAGAGCAGTTGGTGAATATAGATGAAAGTTCATGGCCGGCGCCGCAGCTCAATAGGCTAGCGGCGCCGGCACACCGGGTTCTAGTCCTGGTCGGGGCGCCGGATTGTTTCCCGGTTGCCCCTCTTCCAGGCCAGCTCTCTGCTGTGGCCCAGGGAGTGCAGTGGAGGATGGCCCAGGTGCTTGGGCCCTGCAGCCCATGGGAGACCAGGAGAAGTACCTGGTTCCTGCCTTCGGATCAGCGCGGTGCGCCGGCCGCAGCGCGCCAGCCATGGCGGCCATTGGAGGGTGAACCAACAGCAAAAAGGAAGACCTTTCTCTCTCTCTCTCTCTCTCTCTCTCTCTCTTTATCCACTCTGCCTGTCCAAAAAAAAAAAAAAAATTTATAAGGTTGTCACATTCTTTCAACTTTCCTGTAAATGTGAAAATTACAAAACAAAAAGATGGGAATTAAAAAAAAACAGGAGTATTTCCTGTATCTCCAATTCCCAACCTTATTCTCTCCAGGGACTATGGTAACTGTATAGCTTACATATTTTCAAGCATATTTTTAAAATCCATTTACATGAAGTATATTTTGCATGAATAAAATCATAGTTTAAATAGAATCATACTGTATTTACTGATACCCTACTTGCTTTGTAAATTTACCAGTATGTATTTTCTTTTGCTGTTATAGCAAATTAACACAATCATTGATTTAAACTAATGCATTTCTTAGAGTTCTAAAGGTTAGAGTTCTGGAATGGATTTCACTGGGCTTAAAATCAAGATGTTTGCTGGATTCCGTTTCTTCCAGGGGCTCCAGGGGAAACTAGATGTCCTTGCCTTTTCCAGCTTCTAGAAGTCACCTGTATTCATTGTTTCATGTCTCTTCATCTTCAGGCAGTAGTACAGCCTCTTCACATGTCTCTGTTTCTCTCTTGTAAGGACCCTTGCAATTTGCATAGGGTCAGCTGAAATTCCAGTTCATTTCCAGCTGAAGTTGATTACTCATACCTGCAAAGTGCCTTTTGCATCCGTATATATATTAGTCACCTTTTTTGTCACCATAACAAATACCTGAGAGGATCTACTTGGGAAGGGAGGAGGTTTATTTTGGCTCATGGTTTTGAAGGTTCACAAAGAATAAGCAGGCCCCATCTGGTGAGGCTAAAGGTGGCAGAAGGAGAATCATATGGCAAACCTGGAAGGAGACAGATCACACATTGTCAGTGTGTGTGGTCTGTTCTTACAAACACCACCATCATTCAATTGTGACAACTTCACCTTAACAACCTAATCCAATCCAGCCACTTCCTTAAGGGACTACCTTCAGACATCAAAGTTGGATCAAGCCTCCTTGCCTAAACCATCAACCTGTGACTTAGTGATTTTAAGTATCTGGATGAATTGGGGAGCCAAATCATATTCAAACTATAGCTGTAATATATACACCTGTCCCTCAGGTTCCTCAAGGATTGGTTCCAACCCTCCCTTCCCTCCCCCCCCAAAGATAAAAATCTAATGATGCTCAAATCCCTTATATGAAAGGGCACAGTAATTACCTATGACCTATGTGTGCCCTACCATATATTTTAAATCATCTCTTGATTACTTACAATTCCTAATGTAGTATAAAGTAACATTGACGGATTCCAAGTATTAGGATTCGGACATCTTTGGAGGGCCATTTGCTTACCTCCCATTATATTATGACTAACTTGATTTATCCGTACCATTGGCCCTCCATGTCTATTGATTCAGCCAACTATAATCAAAAAAAATCAGGGAGAATGCTAGAGATTAAGGATACATACTAAAAGCTTTATGTCTGAAAGACAGTGTTAGAGTGACTTCACAGTATACTTTATTGAACTGCATTCTCATTAAAGGAAGTAAATCACCAGACTAGTTTAAAGCCTATCCCACCATTACCACCACCAGCACAACCCCATCAAAACCCTAGGCCCTAAACTACCTGAACTGCAAACAGGGAAGCCAGTTGATAAGAAGCAAAGAAGCAAACTTGGATGTTAGCACAGTCAGGCTCTTCTGCTGGACTTTATGCAGGTCAGTAGGATATTGTTTTCCTCGGGGCCTTGTTGCTTCAATTACCAACTGTTTGAAGACAGTTCCCAGGTCTCACCCTCCAGTCCAGTTACCACCACCACTGTTCCCATGCTCCTCGCCTCTTACGTACATTGACGTTTAATAGCCATTAAGTCAGAAAGGGGGAAAGGCTTACTGACCTTCCCTCCTTTTACTACTTTTTTCTTTTTCTCCTGGGCCACAGGCTTGTGGTAATGTCAGATGTCAACAGGTGTGGCTTGTTGCACTTCTGTCTGTTCAGCATTTATAAACATTTCTGCTTTTCAAGACAAAATGCTCCTTCTCAGCAACCACCTTTTAGCTTACATTCCTGATCATTTTAGGTCGAGTTCTCCTATCCTCCCCTGATTCTGGGAGATGGACACGACAGCCATACTTTGCCAGAAGAATGGAAATATTTGCCCTTCCTTGCCTTACCGGATGGTGCACACAACTACCAAGAAGGTATGTAATAAAGCAGTAGGTGCCATTTTTGAAAATTGCTAAGACATCTTAGATTCCATGTGCCTTGGTAAATAAAAGCCCTTTGGGCAGTTGTGCCTATTTGTAAAATATTTAAATGCTTTTCTGGAGATGACTAGTCATGTACTAGAGGACCGGACCTCCAGAGGAATGCCAGGCTTCTGTTGGCCTTGTGTGGTGACCTTGACCATCCTTTTGCTAGAGCTGTGGCTAAATAAACCAGAGCAGGTCAGTCACCACCAGGAGCACTTCCTCCATTTTACGGTGCTATATATGGTAAGATGATGAGAGGAATTCTAAGAAACCAGTGGCTGTGATGTTGGAAATAAGTACGACATGAGTTCCTTGTTACCAGTTTTATGTTAATGACTACATTATGATGATTTCAATTTCATTACCGATGAGAGTGATTCACCTTGGTATTTATATTTTTCAATGTGTCTCTTAGATACTGTATTTTTTCACTTACCACCCAGAAATGGAAATGGAGCCACGGTATATGGTATCTCTTGCTATCGACAAATTGAAGCCAAGGTATGATAATTAATGATTAACAATAATAGGAAAAAAACTCCAAAATCTTTTCTTAGATTTTTGTCCCTTAGAGAAATATATAATCTTTATTTTTCATGTGGTACCTGTGAAGTTGGTTTAGACTTTTTTTTTTTTTTTTTTTTTGGACAGGCAGAGTGGACAGTGAGAGAGAGACAGACAGAGAGAAAGGTCTTCCTTTTGCCGTTGGTTCACCCTCCAATGGCCGCCACAGCTGGCACGCTGCGGCTGGCGCACCGCGCTGATCCGAAGGCAGGAACCAGGTACTTCTCCTGGTCTCCCATGGGGTGCAGGGCCCAAGCACTTGGGCCATCCTCCACTGCCTTCCCAGGCCACAGCAGAGAGCTGGCCTGGAAGAGGGGCAACCGGAACAGAATCCGGCGCCCCAACCGGGACTAGAACCCGGTGTGCTGGCACCGCAAGGCGGAGGATTAGCCTAGTGAGCCGCGGCGCCAGCCCGGTTTAGACTTTTATAGAGAATTTGTGGCTATTTTTCTGATAGTACTAATTTATTCACAGAAATGTTTTTATAAGTTGACGTTGGTAGTTGTGATTATATTTGCATCATAATATTTTGTACATTGTTTTTAAATAGTGAATCCTAAATCCATATATCAAATATTGTATCTAAGTTTCATACTTTCTTTAACTTTGAATTTTCTGTTTCTGGTGTTTGATACATAACTTTAAAAAATGGAGTGTCAGTGTATGTTTTGTTTGAGCAACACTGAGAAAGTGGAATTAACTTACAGTGGCTTCCAGCTACTCACATAGTATCTTAACTATGTATACTAAGATTTTGACTATTTTTAAACTACCTGCCACTTCATGCCTGATTTACTGTAATAGCTCTGGGGAATAAATTTAAATAAACCAAGATGTGTGACCCAACTTGCTTACATGTAGCACTGTTTTTTGTGATAGAGATCATGTTTATGGGTAAAAAACTCTTTCCTGGGGCTGGCACTGTGGCACAGCAGGTTAACACCCTGGCCTGAAATACCAGCATCCCATATGGGCGCCAGTTCGAGACCAGGCTGCTCCACTTCCTGTCCAGCTCTCTGCTATGGCCGGGAAAGCAGAAGATGGTTCAAGTCCTGCACTCGTGTGGGAGACCTGGAGGAAGCTCCTGGCTCTGGCCTCGGATCGATGCAGCTCTGGCTGTTGTGGCCATTTGGGGAGTGAATCATCGGATGGAAGACCTCTCTCTCTCTCTCTGCCTCTCCTCTCTCTGTGTAACTCTGACTTTCAAATCTTTAAAACTTTTTCCTCCTTTTTTAAAAATTTATTTATTTATTTGGAAGGCAGAGTTACAGAAAGAGAAAGGGAGAGACAAAGAGAGACCTTCCATCCGCTGGCTTACTCCCAAGATGGACGCATTGGCTACAGTTGGGCCAGACTGAAACAAGGAGCCTGGAGATCCATCTACATGTCCTGCATGGATGGCAGGACATAAGCATTTGGGACATCTTCCACTGCTTTCCCAGGCTCATAGCAGGGATCTAAATCAGAAGTGAAGCGGCCTGCATTGCAGGTGGCGCTTATTAACCCACTGCTTCCCTTCTTTCCTCTTTTGAGCTCACTGATACTCTAGAGCAGATCATAACCTCAGCTGCAAATTGGAATCTCTAAAAGAGCTTAAAAAATGGGAAGACTGGGCCTCACCCCAGAAGTTTTGTTTTAATGTCTGGACATGAGGAGTTTTTAATGCTCTCCAGGGGATTCCCATGTAGCCAAGACTGAGAACCACTGCTCTCAAACGGTGGTTCTTCACAAGAGCTACCTGGAGACTTTTTTTTTCTTTTTTTTTTAAATATATGTGTCTGGTCTTTTTTTCCTGACTGAATTAGAATCTCTGGGACTAGAGAGTTTGGGTATTTATAAGTTTTTAGAGCTTCCTCAGGTGAATAATCTACTTAGTAAACTTGTTCTTACTTCTAATTTTTTAAACATGCAGATAATTAAAAGAATAGTACAAAAACACCTGTACATTCAGAAACTACATTCAATAATTGTTGTTCTGTGTGTGTATGTTTGTTTCCCTGAGCCATTTGAAAGTAAACCGTTGGTTGGGGCCAGCGCTGTGGCGCAGTAGATTAATCCTCTTCCTGTTGTGCCAGCATCCCATATGGGCACTGGTTCTAGTCCCAGATGCTCCTCTTCTGATCCGACTCTCTGCTGTGGCCTGGAAAAGCAGTAGAAGATGGCCCAAGTGCTTGGGCCCCTGCACCCACACGTGTGACCAGGAAGAGGCACCTGGCTCCTGGCTTTGGATCTGCGCAGCTCCAGTCGTTGCAGCCATTTGAGGAGTTAACCAGTGGATGGAAGACCTTTCTCTCTGTCTCTCCTTCTCACTGTCTGTATCTCTACCTCTCAAATAAATAAATAAAAATTAAAAAATAAAGAAAGTAAACCGTTGGTGTAAATTCCAGGATACACAAACTAATTAACCACCTTAAAATAACAAGTTCTGGGACATTGAACACACCCATTGAGTGTTCAGTGTTTGTGAAATGAATAACTGAATCTAAAGCTGAAGATATTATATCAGCATATACACCTTAAGTATATACTGTTTTGTTACATTTCAATAAAGCTGAGGAAATAAAAGATAAAAAAAACTTGAGGGTAAGAGTCAGCCTGGTAGCTTTTTGCATTTGATTTCTCCAGTACTGTTACTATTACATACTTAAATGTAAAGTGGATTGAGCTGTTGCCATTTCTTAGACATGTGTTCCTTTTCTTAAATTTATTATTTTTAAAGATTCATTTATTTATTTGAAAGGCAGAATTACAGAGCAAGAGAAGGAGAGAAAGAAAGATCTTCCATCCATTTGTTCACTCCTCAAATGGCTGCAACAACTGGGATTGGGCCAGGCCAAAGCTAGGAGCTTCTTCCCAGTCTCCACAGCACCTATATATGGGATGCCAGTGCTGCAGTGCTGGGCCTGACATTTTTTCCTTTTACTACCTCTTATCCCTCCTAGATCATGTAAGCATTAGTAAAATTATTTCCCCAGAGTTTTTCCACTCATTAACAACAATTCTCATGCTGTGCAGAGCCTTTTAGTACTGTCTGCTACACCCCTGGGTCTGACTAACTCCAGAGTATCAGGGCTGTTCATTTTTCTGAATCTTCTAACTGTATGCAAGAACCATAAAAATAAGCTAGCTGTTCAGGACCTAGCCTTGCCCAAGAATGAGAAAGATAAGCTAGATGTTAGAGGAGACCTAGAGCCTAGGAAAAAAACTCATTCCCTTTGAATAAAGGTAGGACGTAATGGATGTGTCCAGTTAAGAGGAAAGCCTCTGCTGCTTTTTTTCTTTCTTAAGGATTTGTTATTTTATTTACTTGAAAACCAGAATTACAGAAAGAGGGGGAGAGAGTCATCTTTCATCCACTGGTTCATTCCCCAGATGGCCTCAATGGCTGCTGCTGGACCAGATCAGAACCAGGAACCTGGAACTCCATCAGGGTCTCTCACATGGGTAACAGGGACCCAAGTACTTGGGCCGTCTTTCTCTACTTTCTAGTGTGAATTAGCAGGGAGCTGGATTAGAAAGGGAGCAGCCCGGATTCGGACCAGTGCTCACAGGGGATGTCGGTGTTCCAGGCTGCTGCTTAACTCAGTGCACCACAGCACCAACCCAAGCTCTGCTCTGACCTGATGTCTAGTCGTGAGTCATCAGTCAGTTGAACACACTGAACCCTATTGGTCCTCAGGACAGACTCAAGGAAATGCCAGCACTTCACTTAGAGGGGGAAGAGTTGGTTCTTACCTTTCCTTACAGCCTTATTTGCTGTTGACCAAATCAAGACTTGTCCTCTCGCAGCAGAGAATTATAGAAATCTTACGTGGGTATTCTCACTCACACTCACTGAGGCATGAGGTGCATGCTCAGGCCTGGGGTACAAGTTCACCAGAATAGATTCCAGGCATCATAGAGCAGCTGTTAAACTGTTCACAAAAATCAGTTGGCTGTAGTACATGGATTAATTATGTCCCATTGATCAATGTGTAAGTTTTTATGCCAGTCCCATACTGTTTTAAACATCAGTTAAAGCAAAATGTCTGGAACTGGAGGATGTTATGTCAGTAAAATAAGCCAGAGAAAGACAAATACCTCATGTTCTCCTTCACACTGGAAGCTAAAAACAGTTAATCCAAACACAGGATTATAATTCCTAGAGACTGGGAGGGGTGTGAGAGAGAGATGGAAGTTGACTAATAGGTGCCAAATCACAGCTGGACAGGGGGAATAAGTTCCGAGTACTGCATAGCACATTGGGGTGACTCATTCTTAGTAATCTGTTATAAATTTTCTGAGCAATGGGCTACAATCCAAAGTAATAACAAAGAGGGGAATATTGGTTATCCTTATATTAAAATTGTTTTACACTGTATCCCATAAATAGGTATAATTACTGTTATTTTTTTTTTTAAGCTTTATTTGTTACTTGAAATAATTAGAGAGGCAGAGGCAGAGAGAGAGGTCTTCCCTCCATTGGTTCACTCCCCATATGGCTGCAGTGGACGGAGCTGAGCCAATCTGAAGCCAGGAGCCAGGAACTTTTTCCAGGTCTCCCGTGTGGGTGCAGGGGTCCAAGAATTTGGGCCATCTTCTACTGCTTTCCCAGGCTGTAGCAGAGAGCTAAATCAAGAATGGTGCAACCAGGACTCGAACCAGTGCCCATAGGGGTTGCCAGCACTGCAAGCAGCGGTTTTACCTGCTGCACCACAGCACCAGCCCCTACGATTACTATTAATCAAAAAATTTTTGGTAAAATTTTTAAATTTAGAAAAAAAATTGCTGACAGTTTTTTCATCTCTAGAGAAACAATCCATGTGTTTTTGTTATCTGTTAAAACAGTCCCTTCTTACCAGAAACTTTGTTCTTTGGAAAAGTTGCCCATTTTAAAATTAGAATGACCAGTGGTTGTTTGGGTGAGTGAACTTACACATAACTTCATCTCCATCTGACTATATTCCTTGAGAATAAGAGCGTAGTTCCAGGCTGACTCCTCCTTTCAATAAATGTTTTCTGAGATTCTCAGTCAATTTAACTAAATGTAAGAAATTTCTTCTGTTGGCTATTTTTGTATTGAAAAATGGTTTTAAAATATTGCTGTGAAATATTTCTGATAATAACTATTTGTTTATAATAGGCATTGAAAGTAAGGCAAGCAGATGTTACCAGAGAGACTGTTCAGAAAAGTGTCTGTGTCCTAAGCAAGCTGGTAAGAGAACTAGTAACTTGTTCATGTGTGTGTTAAACTCTCATGACAGATTTTTTTATTTGAGTGTAAGACATGAGTAAAATGAGAAAGTTAAGAAAACGATATATTAAAGTTAGGAGTTTATTTATGCTCTTAGGTCTTCTGTTTTTCTTTGCTTCTCAGCAAAGACTAGGTAAGAAGAAGGAGATGTGATAGGTTGTTGGGAAGGAAGTTGACACTTGAACAAAATGAAGTAGCTGGTATATTTCATATCTCTTTTTGTTTTATTCCCAAGATTTTGGGTTGGTATTTCCTAAAATTCAAAATATCATGATTACTTAGATTTTGTCAGTGATAATAGAGTTTATGACTATTGCAGTGAAAAAATTTAGCTTCAACTTACTCTTTAAATTTTATAATGGCTGAGGAAAGGAAATGACAGTGAAGCCATACTATAACAGTACTTTAATTGTGCTTCTATTTTGTACAGTCTGATCAAGTGTGTAATTTTAATTTTTTTAAAGTTATTTGAGAGGGCTCAGAGATAGGTAGCTATGCAGACAAAACAAACTCCTACCAGCTGGTTTATTCCCCAAATATTAGCTATGCCTGAGGCTGATCCAAAGCTGAAACCAAGAACCAAGAATGAAATCCAAGTCTCACAAGTAGGTGACAAGAACCCAGCATGACCTGTCACCACTGCCTCTCAGCACTTACACCAGTAGGAAACTGGAGTCAGAACTAGAACTGAGGACCAAACCTAGACACTTCCATGTGGAATTCCAGCTTCTTAGCCACTAGAACAAATACTTGGCCCTAACTTTGTTTTTAAAAAGAAAATATATAACATGTCTAGTATTTCAGAAGTCTTAAATTGTTTATGATGATTCATGTTCATTAGTAATGGGATAACACCTTTACCAGTAACATCACATGCATAATTTTACATCTGAAATATAGTCCTAAAAATCTCCTTTGTGGGGAAAAATCCAGATTTACATCATCATAATTATCTTAGAACTCTATGATTTATAATATACAACAGTTTCTGCAATTAACCTAAACCAAAATTAAGAAAGTTTCACTAGCCTGATCACTAAATATATTTAAGTTTAGTTCTATTATGTCTTCTGCAATTGTCCAGTTTTCTATATCTATAGGCAATTTAAATGTAATTTGCTTAATATAAAATTAATTTGTAAAATAAGATTTATTTTAGCTTTTATTACTAAGCTAAGAAAGAAACCCTGAGTAATAGTATTTTATGATAATTTAGTACTGTGGGCCTCAATAAGGTTTTTTTTTTAAGATTTATTATTTATTTGAAAGACAGAATTTCAGAGAGAGAGAGGAAGAGACGGAAAGAGAAATCTGTTCGCTGGTTCACTCCCCAAATGGTTAAAACAGTCCGTGCAGGACCAGACCCAAACTGGGAGCTTTTTCTGAGACACCCACGTAGGTGCAGGGGCCCAAGAACGTGGGCCATCTTCTGCTGCTTTCCCAGGCACATTAGCAGGGAGTTGGATCAGATGTGGAGACCAGGACACAAAGCAGTGCCCACATAGGATGCTGGCACTGCTGGTGGCAGCTTTACATGCCATGCCAGAATGCCGGCCCCTGCTGTTTTATAAATGAAGATGTATCTCTTCATTTATGTTTATGAGAATTAGTGGTACTTCAAAAGGTTCAGGAAAATGGAATTAAAAGATGTTTAATCTGCTACAAAGGATTTTGAAACCCACACATAGTTTTTTTTTTTTTTCCATAATATACATTTTCCATGAACTTTTTGAAGGCCCTTCACATATATAGATTTCAAAAAAAATGTTACACCATTCTTTATTTCCATTTATCCATGAACTTTTTGAAGTATCCATAATAACTAATAAATGATAAAATTGGGGTGAATCCAGTTTCGTCTGTTGCTAAAACAGATATGAGGGATGGGGAGATGCAGCTCATCCAGAAAGGTCTGATTGTTCATAGTACATTGTAGAGTGTGTGTGTGTGTGTGTGAGAGAGAGAGAGAGAGAGAGAAAGAGAATATGTGTGTGTGTGTGTGTGTATACACTCATACACGTGTATATATAAATGAATATACTTAGATATTAGTAATGATATGTTAATAAGGATATTGGTAGGAAAAGCCATTCCAGCAATACTTGTTTTAAAAAGGACCTAGAAATGGGAGAACCTCTAGAAAAGAACGTGACAGATAAGAAAATAGAAATGCTGGAAGAGGATCTTAAATAGGAGAAATAAGAATTAAGGAATAACTTTGTTCAGTACATACACACACACTATCAACCTAATAGTCATTTCTGTTTTTTTCTTTAAGCCTCTCTATGGTTTACTTCAAGCAAAACTTCAACTCATCACACATGCATATTTTGAAGAGAAGGATTTTTCCCAGATTTCCATTCTAAAGGTAACTATACCCCTTTACAATGTGTTTGGGTGAAGATGGAGTCCTCAGTCAAATAAATCTTGTTAGTAATACTGTGAAGGATAATCATTTATTAGCTTAAGAAAAATATTCTTTGAAAATATATTTGCATTAAAACATTGAAGAACCAAGGATCTGCCCAAATACTTATTAATGTAACCAAAATGTGTTTTTTCACAGATAGTATCTACAGATAAGAAACATAAATGCACAGTGGTCTTTTTGCTACAGTACTGCGTCTATAAAATTGCTTATTAATAAACTTCATAGTACGTTTATATGCCATTTGGTAGTTCCTACCTCAGAAAAACATAAGCTAGAAAAAACATTATTTTATGGAAATGGATATGTACTTTCGCAAGACTGCCATGAATGTACAGAATATGAATCTCTCCTGAATCCTGGGAAGATTAAGACAGTTAGATATTTAGCAAGGAAGCTAAATAACATAAGGAATTTTATCCTTGGAATTCATTCTGCCGTGTGAATGAATCAGACTCTAAAAATGTGGAGAGGAGTACTCTGAGTAGCTTTGCACCCTTTCTGCCCACATCTCTTCTGATATTGCTCATCTGTGGAAGAGAAGGAATGAGTGCTAGAAACTGGCAAGATTTCAAAGAAACGTTATTTCTAAGCTTAATGTCAATTAAGAAAGCAACTTTTTTTTGACATATTTCTAATTCAGTTTCTAAAATGATAATAAAATGCTGTAAACAAAACCTGTATTTTATAGGAGCTGTATGAGCATATGAATAGTTCCTTGGGAGGAACTTCATTAGAAGGATCTCAAGTATATCTTGGTAAGTAACATTTTGACAATTAGAAGAGATATCTTCTTTTCTTCTTTGGTGAATTAAGTTGCATGGGAAACTTCATGATCAGAATTAAACCTCTATATGGAATCTGAATTCTTCAGTGTTTGATGCTGCATCTTCCTTAAATATTTTCTTCCAGTGTTCATACTGAGTAGGGTTATCATAACATATCAGTAGCTTTGTTTACCATGTGATTGTACAAAGTAGATTTATGCTTTTCTTTTTTTTTTTTTTTCCTCAGAAACCTTTTACTTAAGGTATACAAATTTCATGCATTTCAACTTCAGGAATATAGTGATTCTTCCCATTCTACCCATTCTCCAACCCACATTCCCATCCTTCCTCCTCCTCCCTCTCCTACTCCCATTCTTATTTTTTACTAAGATCTATTTTCAATTAACTTTATATGCATGAGGTTAACTCTACACTAAGAAAAGTGTTCAACAAATAGTATGAAAAAAAAAACTGTTGCACAATGCTCAAGACAAGGGCTGTTCAAAGTTACTGCAACTCAAAGTATCAAGGTCAGTTTTGTTTTGTTTTGTTTTTTGTTTCTTTGTTTGTTTTTGACAGGCAGAGTGGACAGTGAGAGAGAGAGAGACAGAGAGAAAGGTCTTCCTTTTCCGTTGGTTCACCCCACAGTGGCCGCTACGGCCAGTGCACTGCAGCTGGCGCACTACGCTGATCCGAAGCCAGGAGCCAGGTGCCTCTCCTGGTCTCCCATGTGGGTGCAGGGCCCAAGCACTTGGGCCATCCTCTACTGCCCTCCTGGGCCACAGCAGAGAGCTAGACTGGAAGAGGAGCAACCGGGACAGAACCCGGCGCCCCAACCGGGACTAGAACCCGGTATGCCGGCGCCACAGGTGGAGGATTAACCTAGTGAGCCACGGCGCTGGCCAAGTTCAATTCTATAGATTACCTTTTAGGTGCTCTATTACCACAGATCAGGGCCAACATATGGTATTTGTCCTTTTGGGACTGGCTTAGTTCACAAAGTTTGTTTACCAGTCGCATCCATGTTGTTGCAAATGACAGGATTTCATTTTTTCTTAACTCTGTGTAGTATTCCATGGTGTACATATCCCATAGTTTCTTTATCCAGTCTTCAGTTGACAGACATTTGGGTTGATTCGATATCTTAGCTATTGTGAATTGAGTTGCAATAAACATGGGGGTACAGTTCACTCTTTCATCTGCTGATTTCATTTCCCTTGGGTAAATTCCCAGGAGTGAGATGGTTAGGTCATATGGTAGGTCTGTATTCAAATTTCTGAGGTATCTTCATACCATATTCCACAATGGCTGTACCAGTTCACATTCCCACCAACAGTGGATTAGGGTACCTTTTCCCATATCCTTGCCAGCATTGGTTGTTTTTTGATTTCTGTATGAAAGCCATTCTAACAGGGATGAGATGAAACTTCATTGTGGTTTTGCTGATTTTTTGTTTGTTTGATCTGGCCATTGTTGAAAATGGGGTATTGAAGTCCCTCATTACTATTTTAATGGAGTCTATGTCTCTTTAGATCCATTAACATTTATTTTAGATAGTCAGATGCCTGGCCGGCGCTGCGGCTCAATAGGCTAATCCTCCACCTGCGGCGCCAGCATACCGGGTTCTAGTCTCGGTTGGGGCACTGGATTCTGTCCCAGTTGCCCCTCTTCCAGGCCAGCTCTCTGCTGTGGCCTGGGAGGGCAGTGGAGGATGGCCCAAGTGCTTGGGCCCTGGACCCGCATGGGAGACCAGGCAAAGCACCTGGCTCCTGGCTTCAGATCAGCGTGATGCACCAGCTGCAGCGGCCATTGGAGGGTGAACCAACAGCAAAAGGAAGACCTTTCTCTCTGTCTCTCTCTCACTGTCCATTCTGCCTGTCAAAAAAAAAAAAAAAAAAAAAAAATAGATGCCCTGTGATTCAGTGCATGTATGTTTGTTGTAGTCACATCCTCCTGTTGAGTTGGTCCCTTAATAATTACATAGTACCCTTCTTTGTCTTTTAACAGATTTGTTTGTTTTACTTTTTGTTTTTTTGTTAAAGTCTGTTTTGTTTGATATTAGGATAGCTACACCAGCTATTTTTTGGTTTCTGTTAGCATGGAATATCTTTTTCCATCCTTTCATTTTCAGTTTGCGTTGCAACTTTATTGGTGAGATGTGTTTTTTTGTAGGCAGCAAATAGATGGGTCGTGTTTTTTAATCCATTCAGCAAATCTGTGTCTTTTTTTGTCTGGAGAGTTGAGGCCTGTCGCTCCCCCTCTTCGTGGAGGAACGACACTAAACCCTGCCTAGGCTTCATATCCGAGTCACGGCACCATTATGTCGCTCCCCCTCTTCGCGGAGGAACGACACTAGACCCTGTGTTGTTCTTTCGTCTGCTCGGCCCTTCCCGGGTTTGCTGCTGGTTCTTCCCAGGTTGGCTACCGTCCTTCCACCTCCATGAAAGGGCGGTTCCCCCTGCCACTTTCCCCACTTCCGCGGGGGAGCGGCACACCGCTGGCCGGCTCTCTCGGGGACTGCACAGGTGTTCCTTCAGATACATGCTCCTGGTACATGTTGTCTCTCTCCTCCTTTATAGTCCTCTTCCACCAATCCCAACTCTGCTACCCACACGCCGAGTACGCTGCTCTCCTCCAATCAGGAGCAAGATCAGCTCCTGCAGGTCATCACTCAAGTTGGCGAGAGGCAGCTGCGTAGAAGTTGTTACTCCCTTCTCAGCGCCATATTGTGGGAGAGCAGATGCATAGAATAAGTCTTAATTCCAGTAACAATCTAGTCCGAGTTGCTCCCCACAGAGGCCATTTACATTCAGGGTGACTATTGATAAGTCATGACTTTACCCTGCCATTTTTCCATAAATATTCTTATTGTTTACTTTGGATTTCCTTTGTATTTTTACTGGGAGATTTTCTGCCTTTACCTTCTTTCATAGTGATGACCATGTTTCTGTGTGTAGCACATCCTGAAGCATCTTTTATAAGGCTGAATGAGTGGTGACAAATTTCTTTTGATTTCTCTTTGTTATGGAAGGTTTTTATTTCACCTTCATTCATAATTGAGAGCTTTGCAGGGTACAGTGTTCTGGATTGACAGTTTTTTTCTCTTATGACTTGGAATATATCTCACCATTCTCTCTTAGCCTGTAGGGTTTCTGATGAGAAGTCTGCTGTGAGTCTAATTAGAGGTCCTCTGAAAGTAATCTGGCATTTCTCTTGTGCATATTTTAGAATCTTGTCTTTGTTTCACTGTGGAGAGTTTGACTACAATGTATCATGGTGAAGATCTTTTCTGGTCATGTCTATTAGGAGTTCTATGTGCTTTCTGTACTTGAATGTCCCTTTCTTGGTCCAAATTAGGGAAGTTTTCTGTAATTATTCCACTAAAAAGGCATTCTAAACCATTCTCTCTTTCCATGCCTTCAGGAACTCCTAAGACCTGTATGTTGGATCGTATGATAGTATCCCATAAATCTCCAACACTGTTTTTTAGTTTTCTAATTTATTCTTTTGTTCAGTCTTACTGTAAAATTTCCAGAGATTTGTCTTCTAACTCAGATATTCTTTCTTCTGTCTCACCGAATCTGTTGTTAAGGCCTTCCACCTTTTTTTTTTATTTTATCTATGGAATTTTTCATTTCTAATATTTCATTTTAATTTCTCTTTATAATCTGTTTCATGGGAAAACTTCATTCTTGTCATGTATGGATTTCTTTAATTTGTGGATTTGCTTCTGATTACTTCTAAGTAATCCTACAATTAGCTTTTTGAATTCTTTTCATTTCTTTTTCTTTTTTTTTTTTTTAAGATTTATTTATTTGAAAGGCAGACTTACAGAGAGGTAGAGACAGAGGCAAAGAGAGAGAGGTCTTCCATCCGCTGTTTCACTCTGGCCAGAGCTGGGCTTATCCGAAGCCAGGAGCCAGGAATTCCCCCAGGTCTCTCAGGCACGTGCAGGAGCTGAAGAACTTAGGCCATCTTTTGCTTTCCCAGGCAATAGCAGGAAGCTGGATCGGAAGTGGAGCAGCCAGGACTCAAACTGGCGCCCATATTGGATACCAGCACTGCAGGCGACGGCTTTACCCGCTATGCCACAGTGCTGGCCCCTCCCCACCCCCGGCATTTATTCAATCTCTTCATCTTCATGTTCTAGTATTGAATGTTGTTGTGTTCTTTGGGGGTATCATGTTGTCTTCCTTATTCTTATTTCTTGAATTGCTACATTTATTTTTATATTTTTAGGCATTTGTGGATTTGGATTTTACCCCTGTGATGGCTTTTATCTTTGGACTATTCCTGTGTTGCTTAGTGGAGTGTCAGCTCTTTCAGTGAATACCCAGAGGCATGTGTTGGGTGTGGCCAGGAGCTCTGTTCAGTGCTCTAGGGTGAGGGGAGTGTCCTAGGTAGCATCCAAGTTGGGTGTGGTAATTTTTTTTTTTTCCAGAGGGAAGGATATGATCCGCTCTGTTGGCATAATCTCACACTCACCTCCTCCCCTCCAGGGAGACTAATGCCTGGGTGCTGGCCCCAGTGGGTGCAGTTTTCATCCATGCTGCCACAAGAACCACACAAAGGATCCATGCAGTCCTAAGTGTGAGCACAGATCCCACAGCAGTGATCCTTACCAGGCAATCAGGGAGCCTTGTGTGGATGCTCTCAGTGACTACCCAGAGACTAAGCCACATTCTGTGCCCTTTGACGCAGGCCCGGTATTTTCACAGTCTATCCCAGCACCCAAGGCTCCCACAGCACACAGCCCTCTGTCAATTCTTCCAGCCAGACTCAGGCGTCTCAGCTGGTTGCTGGGCATGCAGATACAAGCTAGCGCAGCTGTTACATTTGTCCAAAATGGCGCCTGCCCTCTCTCAGCCAATTACAGGATGCATGGTGATCAGGGAGACAGAAATGTGCCACCCCCACCCTGTTTTATTTTCCTCTAGGTTGGCAGGTACATTGTACATTGTCCCCCACAGGGCTCCAAGCTGGACTCAGGCTACGCTCTTCCCACAGTTCTATCGCCAGTGGCTTGGGCTGCTGCAGTCTGATTTTTTTTTTTAAAGATTTATTTATTTACTTGAAAGTCAGAGTTACACAGAGAGAAGGAGAGGCAGAGAGACAGAGAGAGGTCTTCCATCTGCTGGTTCACTCTCCAGTTGGCCACAATGGCCAGAGCTGAGCCACTCTGAAGCCAGGAGCTTCTTCCAGGTCTCCCATGTGGGTGAAGGGGCCCAAGGACTTGGACCATCTTCCACTGTTTTCCCAGGCCACAGTAGAGAGCTGGATCGGAAGTGGAACAGCCGAGATACGAACCGGCACTCATATGGATGCCGGCACTAAAGGCAGCAGCTTTATCCACTATGCCACAGCACCGGCCCCTGCAGTCCAGTCTTACTTCACTCTCCAAAGCTGGTGCTGAGGCTCTTGACTGCTGAGGTCCTGAATTGTGTGCATCCACATCCTCCTCATAGATCCACAGTATCCCTTCATTTTGTGTGTAGCTTTGTAGTTTTCTCCCTAACTCTTCCTCAGACTGCACTCCATTTTTTTCTAACTGTCTTCCCCTAGACTAGTACAGCAAGCTCCCTCCCTGTTCTGCCATCCTCGGCTTTTCAAAATAACAACCAAGTTTTTTTAATTCTTCAAGTGAGTGATTTAGTTTAATTTACATTGTCTTGACAGCAGTAATATCCATTGGTATCTCAGGTGCTCAGTAGACAATAAATACCCTCTCCATTTTTTTTTTTTTTAATTTTAACCACATAGTGATTTATGTTCACACAATTTTTATTTTAACATGAAATAGCCAAATGGTGATATTTTTCTAGTGCAATCCTGTGTGTAAGCTAGTTACAGAGCTCCTATTCTGAGTATGTATTTTTCTCTATATTATTTTTCTCTTGTTCTGTTATGTTGGAGGCAGATGATTGGAGAAGTATGCAATTCAGAAATAATAGATATAAAGTTCAGTGACCAAAAACTATCTAGATGATTGCCACTGAAGTATAAGCTTTATAATTTCTGAACTTGTATAGTAATGTTTATAGAATGGAGGGACGTATTAAGCCAGCACTGTCTAAAACATTAGCCACTACTGGCTGCATATAGCTATCTACATTTAGATTTAATTGATCACAGATTAAACAAAATGTAAAAGTCAGTTTCTCAGTCACGCTTGCCACATTTGAAGTACTTGGTAGTCATATGTAACTACTGAATTGGACAGGGCACGTTTAGAACATGGTCATTCTTGTAGAAAATTCTGGCAGACAGCACTATCTCCAAGCATATATGTATTCACTGAAGTATATGTAATGTGATGTCACTTCAGATATTGTGGAAAAATCAAATTAATTGATGAGCATTTCCAGGAGCCTTTTGAAGACCCCTTCTATTTTAGTATTTGTATATTCCTACCTTCGTTTTTTTACTTCCCTTTCCTTTGAGAGGAAAAAATTCTTTATTCAACAAAAACAGTAGGTTGTAGTCACATATTAGCTTTTCTGTTAACATTGTAGGTCTGTCTCCTCGAGATCTTGTCCTTCATTTTCGACACAAGGTATGACACCTTATTTAACTTAAGGATGTACTAAAATGGAAGACATGTGTTCATTTAACTGACAGATTCAATGTACTACATAAGTTGTAGCTTATGGCATAATCTATATTTTTGTTCTTTTAAGACAGTACTTGGTCTCACAAAATAGAGTTGAAAATATTGGTGGGGCTTGTATTACATAAATACCTACAAGAGTACAGATACTGTCTTTTTCCTTCTTTGCAATACAGAATTTTTTTTTCAATTGTCTTTGGGATTTTAGCTATCATGAGATTAAAGCACAAAGAAACATTTTGATCATGTAGAATGTTTTTAATTATTATTTATGTTTGTTTTCATCTTATTTGAAAGGCAGAGACAGAACTATCCATTGGTTCACTACCCAAATGCCCACAACAGCTAGGGTTAGGCCAGGCTGAAGCCAGGAAGCCAGAACTCCATCCAGATCTCTCACATGAGTGACAGGGACACAATTACTTGAGACATCATCTGCATCCCAGGATGTGCATTAGCAGGAAGCTGCTAGATAGAATCAAAGGATCTGGGACTCAAATCAAGCACTCTGTTAGAGGATATGGTTGTCCCAAGTAACAGCTTACCAATGGACCAAACATCCTCCACTTGTAGAATATTTTATATGTTCTGATGGAAATAATTCCAATAAAATATCTATACTGATGCAAAACATACTCATATGCTTTATTAATAAGGTGTACAATTACTAGGATATACATACATTGTTCATTCCTTGAATAGACTTTTATTGAGGACCTACACTGCGATAGCTCTGAATATCCAGAAATAAATGAATACTTGCTGTCCTTTAAAAATCTTGCAAATATCTTAAGCAAAAATGATGCCACTCTTTTCAAAAAAGATCCTTTCTGTTAGAAATATGAGTCCCACATTTTTAGAGCACATAGGTAATATTCATCTCTTAGTAGACATTCATAATTTTTCATGTATTTTTAAAACTATAATTAATATTGATAAATGATATGTGGTTATGTTTGAGGAGGGGAAAAAGCAAATGAATAATAGGGTTGGTTTTCTAACTGTAATACAACATTTCTTTCTTCAGGTCTTAATCCTGTTTAAATTAATTCTTCTTGAAAAAAAGGTGAGATTTACAGAGATGAAAGGAAGGATGGGATATTTAACTTCTGTGTTGAACCTCATGATAAAGTATTAAAGACATTTTCTGTCTGTCAAATTGTAATGAGCTGAAGCACATATTGTTCACTGCCATAGAAGTACAAATTTGTACAGTCTTTCTGGAAGCAGTTTGACAGTATATTCAGTTACATTCTAGATTGTTTTCATCACAGATAAAACCTAATTTTTAACTGACTTAAATAAAAAGGAAATGTATTAGTTCACTTCAGACATCAGGCTGATTGATTGAGTTGTTCCAGATTAATTAAGTACTTAGGTAGTAATTATCTTATTTACTTGTAACTGGTGGCAGTCATAATTCCTCTTCTAAATCTGTTACCCTTCAGTTTGTTTGGGTTCTTTTTGTTTTAAATTACAAAAGAGACTACATATCGAATATCCCTGAAATACTTTGGACCAGAAGTGTTTCAAATTCAATTTTCAAATTTTGGAATATTTAATTACACTTCACCTATTGAGTGAGTAGCTCTAACCCAGAAATTCCAAACACTCCAAAATCTGGAACTTTTTGAGTATCACATCAGTTCTCAGTTTTCGTATTTTCAGGTTAGGGTGCTAAACTTGTTTTTTTGTTTGTTTGTTTTAATAAGGCTATATGACTTCTCCTAAAATATGATCTACCTTTGATTTAATTTACTAATTTAATGGTCATGTTAGTTTTAGTGCAGTATCTAACTGAATCCTGTTTATAATTTAATTTTTTCTCAATTTTTATACTGAAAAATGTCAAGGCTGCTGAGAAGTTGATGGAACAATACAAGAAACACCTTTACAGCCTTCATCTCTATTTATCACTTGTTAACCTTTTTGCCACTTTTACATTATATTGCTTTGTGTTTGATCATTTTTCTCCCTTTAATCATATTTTGAAGGTAATTTGTAAATATCATGGTACTTGACCCCTAAGAAGTTTCAGATACGTCTCTTGAGAACAAAAATACATTCCTACGTATCCATAATACCATTTTCACATTCAAGGATTTATCATTGATAAGAATAAATGATATCTAGTATATAGTGCATTTCAAATTTCCCGAGATAGCATAATAATATCTTTTATAACTACTTGTTTTCAGTCTGGGAACCAGATAGTTAGGGATCATGTGTTGCATTGCTGGCTGTCTCCAGTCTCAAGCAGTTCCCCCACCTCTTACTCTTCTGGTTCATTGTTTTTTGTGTTTCATGACATTGGTACTTTTTTAAAGAATTTAGACTAGTGTTAGAGGATTAGATTTGTCTGTTTTCTTGTAGCTAGTTTCAGATTAAACTTTTCTAGCAAGAATGCTACACAGATTGTTGTGTGTCCTTCCTAGAATATTACATCAGAAGGCCCATAATTATTTGTGGTATTATTGCTGATATAAAGCTTGATCACTTTGTTAAAGTGGTGGTTACCATTTTAATGAGTAATCTGTGGGAATGATAAATTTTGAGGCACTGGGAGTATCTTGTTGTCTAACAACCTTTCACGGTAATTTTACCATCCATTGTTCATTTATACCTGAATCATAGTAGAAGCTAAATTGTGATTTTCTGTCATTGCTTCTACATTTCTTAGCTCTTATTCTGTAAAGAACTTTTCCTCTCTTCTTCTCCCCCCCCCTTTTAGTATCAATATTATATCCTCGATCTTCTAATGTAATTTTGATTGAATCCATTTCAGGTTCTTTTTTATATTTCTCCAGTGAATAAATTGGTGGGTGCACTGATGACTGTGTTGTCCCTTTTTCCAGGTAAGAGGACAGCAATATCTATTCTTTCTTTTGTTAACTTGTATTGGAACTTCAAATTTCAACAATAGAGGTTTTCAAGGATAAACTGGATTAACATTTCTATTTTAATATGACATTTTCCTTTGACATTGTTTCTCTTTTTTTCTGAATTTTCTTTTAGTTAAACTGTGTGCAAACATAGCTTTTTAAAGGTTTTGTAGGAGAATCCCACTATAGAAAAGAAAATGTAAAGAATACAGCTCTTGTTTTCTTCTATATTATTGTAAGCCAAATTGTTCTCCAATATTGTATATTTTAGGCATGATTGAACATGGTCTCAGTGACTGTTCTCAGTACAGACCCCGAAAGAGTATGTCAGAAGATGCTGGGCTTCAGGAAAGTAATCCCCCTGCAGATGATTTTGTTTCTGGGTCTGCTTCTGACATTTCAAATAGCAACTTGGGAACTGTCAAGAAAATCATGGCAGGAAGCCATGGAGGAGATGCTGCCATCAAGACTGAAGTACCTCCGTTCCAAGTAGAAGATAACCACAGCAAAGGACAGGAACTCAATGACACCAGTCAATATTTGAAACCTCCATCTCGCCCTTCTCCAGAGTCTTCAGAAAGTGACTGGGAGACCTTGGATCCTAGTGTCCTAGAAGACCCCAACTTGAAAGAAAGGGAACAGATGGGGCCAGACCAGACAGATCTCCTTCCCAAGAACTCTGTGCCCTCAGACAGTCCTCCAATTACTGTGCAGCCTCAAGCTAATACAGGGCAAGTGGTCCTGACACCAGGGCTCATTTCAGGTTTAGAGGAGGACCAATACGGCATGCCGCTGGCCATCTTCACGAAGGTAAAGTGTAATGTCCTTTATAGAATCCCTTACAGAACATGACAAAATCTTTCTAGAATTCACCTTTCAGTGTTGAACACATTTTCAAATCTTAATTTCTCTTTTGTATACTTATATTGTATGCTTTTCAGAAGTATATAATACATACCAAATGTATGGTACATCTTACCATAGTGTGTGACTGTAGGCAAGGAGTTCAGAGGGTTTAATTAGAAACATTTTTGAAGCTACTGGATATAATATCAGTAATTAGTGTATTGGGTGTTTTTAATTATTAAAATTTTTCTTTTAAAAAAATGAATTGAGTGGGCTAGCACTGTGGTGTAGCAGATAAAGCCACCGCCAACAGTGCCGGTATCCCCTATGGGCGCCAGTTTGAGTCCCAGCTGCTCCACTTCCGATCCAGCTCTCTACTGTGGCCTGGGAAAGCAGTAGAAGATGGCCCAAGTCCTTGGGCCCCTGCACCCACATGGGAGAACCGGAAGAAGCTCCTGGCTCCTGGCTTCAGATCAGCTCAGCTCCAGCCATTGCGGCCATCAGGGGAATGAACCAGCAGATGGAAGATCTCTCTCTCTCTGTCTCTCTCTGCCTCTCCTCTCTCTGTGTAACTCTTTCAAATAAATAAATCTTTTAGAAAAAATGAATTGAAGAAACCGTCTTAATTGCATTTAATTAATATGTTAAATTGCTACAATTCTAAAAGTTACTATTTAATTTTTTAATAAGCTTATTCTTTAATTGCACTTCTATGCTCCTTTGTGCATAAGAAGTTTATTTTTATTTATTTGAAAAGCAGAGCAAAAGAGGCAGAGGCTGAGAGTGAGCAGGAGAAAGAGATTTTCTACCTACTGGTTCATTCCCTAAATGCCTACAACAACAGTGGGTGGGCCAGGCCAAAGTCAGGAGCCAGGAACTCCATCTGGGCCTCCCATGTGCCACAATACTTGCTCTCAAAGCTATAATTTTAAAAAGAATAAAAGGGGTGGGGTGAAGTATTTGAGACAGCAGTCAAGATACCCCTTGGAATGCCCACATCCTGTAACAAAGTGCCTGGGTTCTGATCCCAGCTTTGCTTCTGTCTCCAGCTTCCTGCTAATGCACACCCTAGGAGGTACCAGATAATAGCCAAAGTAATTGGTTCCTTGCCACCCATATTAGAGACCTGGATTGAGGTCTGGGCTCTTGGCTTCAGCCTGGCCCAGTCTCAGCAGCTGTGGGCATTTGAAGACTGAGCCAGCAGATGGAAAATTTCTCTCTCTCTTTCTTTCTCTCTCTCTTTCTTTCTCTCTCTGTATCTCCCTCCCTCCCTTCCCTCCCCTTCTCCCCTCCCCCTCCCCCCCCTTCTCTCTCTGCCTTTCAGATAAATGGGGAAAATATTTTATTTTTAAAACCAATGCAGTGTTTCTTACTGGAATAAGAACCTAGGGAGAAAAACTGAGGTCTCTCAAACTACTATGTGTGGAAAGTAGCCACAGAGTATGGCCTTTCTGAACTGGCATGATTTCCTATACCTTTTGAAGCCCTTACTTTACTGTTTTACCCATCCATCCTCTAATTTTTATCATTGTAGAGATAGTAAGAAGAAAATTAAACTGGGGGTGAATCTAGGGGTTTTTTTTTATCACATTATTGAATTAAAGTAACGTAAAGATGTACTTTATGTCGTTTCAAATTAACCGTGTTTCGTAGAATATTAGGTTTTTGTGCTTTATACTAGTACTTAATATATGATGGGCTTTTGCCAGCGCCGTAGTTCACTAGGCTGATCCTCCGCCTGTGGCACCAGCACACCGAGTTCTAGTCCCGGTCATGGCGCCGGTTCTGTCCCGGTTGCTCCTCTTCCAGTCTAGCTCTCTGCTACGGCCTAGGAAGGCAATGGAGGATGGCCCAAGTGCTTGGGCCCTGCACCTGCATGGGAGACCAGGAGGAAGCACCTGGCTCCTGGCTTTGGATTGGCGCAGCACGCAGCCATAGCAGCCATTTGGGGGGTGAACCAATGGAAGGAAGACCTTTCTCTCTGTCTCTCTCTCACTGTCTAACTCTGTCTGTCAAAAGGAAAAAAAAATATGATGAGCTTATAACCGTCATTGTGCTCAGTAAAACATTTTTCCTTTTGTTTCTTGTGTACTGATTAAAATCTAATTTGTTGGGGCAGGTGTTTGGCCTAGCAGTTAACACACCATTTGGGTTCCCCACATTCCGTACCATAGAGCCTGGGTTTGAGTCTCAACTCCATTCCCAGTTCCAGGACCCGCTGAGAGGTAGCAGGTGGTCCCTGCCATTCATGTGGAAGACCTGTATTGAGTTCCTGGCTTCAACCCTGACCCAGCCCCAGCCCTTACAGGCTTTTAGGGAAAGAGCCAGTAGATGGCAGATTTCTTTTTCTCTTTCCTTGTATGTGTGTGTGTGTGTCTCCCTCTGAAATAAATAAAATCTGGTTTGTTGTTTGATCACCATTTTAAGTGCAAGTGCTAATTTTTTCATGTCAGTAACTAGAATATGCAGTGTTATTAAAACCAAATTGTTGGGGCCAGTGCTGTAGCGTAGTGGAGAAAGCTGCCGCCTGCAGTTTGGCATCCCATATGGGTGCTGGTTTGAATCCCAGCTGCTCCACTTCCGATCCAGCTCTCTACTATGGCCCAGGATAGCAGTAAAAGGCCCAAGCCGTTGCAGCCATTTGGGGAGTGAAATTGTGGATGTAAAATATCTCCCTCTCTCTCTGTTTCTTGCTGCCGCTGCCTCTCTGTAACTCTGCCTTCAATCTTTTTAAAAAAATAAATAAATTGTCTTTGGGCTTTTGACTTTTTTTCTGTAGAAGTTCTTAAAATCTCACACAAAAGGAATTAAGTTAGCAAAATATCTCTTTTTTAAGATTTATTTTATTTGAAAGACAGTTTCAGATAGAAGTAGATAGTTTGAGAGAGAGAGGTCTTAAATCTGCTGGTTCACTCCCGAAATGGCCGCAACAGCCAGAGCTGAGCCGATCCAAAGTGAGGAGCCAGGAACTTCCTCTAGGTCTGCTACATGGGAATAAGGGCCCAAGGGCTTGAGCCATCTTCTGCTTTCCCAGGCCATAGCAGAGAACTGGATTGGAAGTGGAGCAGCCGGGACTAGAACGGACACCCATATGGGATGCTGGTGCTGCAGGCCAGGTCTTTAACCTACTGTGCCACAGCACTGGCCCCTAGCAAAATATCTTGAAAGTTATACCAGAAATAGAGAGAAGCCTGGTTGCCTGGGGAATATTGCTGAAGTAGGATGGTTAACATATAAATAAATGGAAACAGATTTCTACATAATAAAAAGTATTTCAGTGCCGGATTCTGTCCTGGTCGCTCCTCTTCCTGTCCAGCTCTCTGCTGTGGCCCGGGAAGGCAGTGGAGGATGGCCCAAGTCCTTGGGCGCTGTACCCACATGGGAGACTAGGATGAAGCACCTGGCTCCTGGCTTCAGATTGGCGCAGTGCGCCGGCCGTGGTGGTCATTGGGTGAACCAACGGAAAAAGGAAGACCTTTCTGTCTCTCTCTCACTGTCCACACTGCCTGTCAAAAAAATTTTTTTTAATTTTAGAAGTATTTCTGTAAGAGATTCCTCTACTCTCCAGCTATCCAGTCTTTTTTCTGATACTTTGACTTGCCTAGCATCCTTTCATGTCAGTGTTAAAGACCAGGCCTCCTGCGTTTGGTTCTAAAATATGCTAGAGCCTTTCCTGAAAGTTGGTTTATTAGGTGTGCAGAGAAAACAGGCACAGAAGGAAAGGGTGGAACCAGAGGCACCTGTGGGGTCGGCTGTCCATGAGGTAATGAGGAGAGGACTGGGTAAGCCAGAAGGAGAAGTAGGAAGATTAGGAAAAGGCATGTACCTGTGTGATATGTACGGTCTGCTGCTGTGCCACGTTATAATCAGAGAAACATTGAAGGGCAGTGGGAAAGAGAGAGAGAGAGAGGAAAATGGAGTAGTTATTTTCCTATGTGAAAAGACAGTCCTGGCCGGCGCCGCAGCTCACTTGGCTAATCCTCCACCTGCAGCACCAGCACCCTGGGTTCTAGTCCCGGGTGGGGCGCTGGATTCTGTCCCGGTTGCTCCTCTTCCAGTCCAGCTCTCTGCTGTGGCCCAGGAGGGCAGTGGAGGATGGCCCAAGTGCTTGGGCCCTGCACCTGCGTGGGATACTAGGAGGAAGCACCTGGCTCCTGGCTTCAGATCGGCGCAGTGCACCAATTGTAGCGGCCATATGGGGGGTGAACCAACAGAAGGAAAACCTTTCTCTGTGTGTCTCTCTCCCACTGTCTAACTCTGCCTGTCACAAAAAAAAAAAAAAAAAAAAGAAGAAGAAAAAGAAAAGACAGTCCTGAGACCTTTTCTTCTATTTTTCCCTTATTTTAAGTCTTCCTACCTCACTGCTGTAAATGTTCTCAAATTGGCAGCACACTAGAGCAAAGCTTGGGACTGGCTGGAAAGAACTAGTGTAGTGGGAGTTTGGATTCCCACGCCTTTGAGTCACACAAGTCAGCTTTCCTTCTCTTCTTTTCTAGTTATGAGATAATAGTCATCACTTAGGAAAACTAGGTGAGTTACCGTAAATGCAACTCTGATTAGAAGTCACCTAATATAATTATTAAGTTTCAAGTTACATGTGGACATTGTGGTTACAGTAGTTTAAAATGCCACTTCAAATGCTGGCATCCCATATCAGAGTGCTATTTCGAGTCCTAGATACTCAACAATACCTATCCATCTTCTTGCTTATTATGCACCTGAGAAGCAGTAGATGATGGCCCAAATACTTGGGTTCCTGCCATAAATGTGGGAAACTTGAATGCAGTTCTGGACTCCTGGCTTTGGCCTGGACTAGCCCTGGTTATTTCAGTCATTTCAGAGTTACGAACCAAATGTGACTGTCCCTCTCTCCTGCCTTTCAAATAAATAAATTTTTAGTTAACTCAGTCTTTAATTTAATGAATGTGATTTTTAGTTTGGGGGTTAGTGAAGGTGATTTTCAG